GTGCATAGAGTGGGGGCGACACTGGCAGACCTGCTGCCAGCTCATGCCAAGGTCTCTATGGCTGAACTGAACACTGACAAATATGTATCTGGGATCTGCCTCCCCTCCCCCCCGTTAGTGCTGGTAAAATAGGATTAGGGTTATAAGAATGTTTTTGGTGTTTAGACTTTACTGAACTCTTGTGGGTTGCTGCCAGCATTAATCTCACTTACTGCATCTGTGTCCCGTACTGTAAGGTGCTATTTAAGCAGTTGTATTGGGAGCCTCTCTGACACTGTAACTCACCAGACAGGAGAGAGACAGTAACTGGTGTGAAGTGCTGGTCTCCAACAGAAGGTGTTACGTCCTGGCCCACAGGGAAGGCCCAGCAATGCCAGACGGACTATTGTGGGACATTAAAGAGGACAAAAGACATTGGCTGTTCTGCCCTCCCTCCGTGAAGACGAGTCATGCAAGTGGATTCCTCCCATCAGCTGAGTTTGCAGCTCAGAGCACGTGGTGGGAAAGGAATAAAAACCCTGGAGGGTGAGGTTTCTTGGCATAAGCAAAAGATCCCCAGTGCTTAGCCTAGGTTAACCCTAAAGGACATAAAGAGCTTGTTTATTATAGAAGGTTGGGTTACCTTTCGAAGCTTAAGATTGGAACTCGTGTGTGTGTATGTTTACGGCTTTAAACTTGTAAATAATTCTCATTTCCTTTTTGTAGTTAATCGTTAGATAGTTTATTGTGTCTCTGGTGTGAGATCTAAGGTGCAACTGACCTGGGGTAAGTGACTGGTCCTTTGGGATGGGAAGTAAGCTGAATATTGCTGTGATTCTTGGTGTAAGGGACCAGCTGTCACTAAGGCAGGCTCACAAGGGGGGCAAGAGAGATCAGAGTACCCAAGGGGACTGTCTGTGACTCCATGTTGAGGCTGTTATGGTGTGTGAGGAGTTTGCACTTGATGATTAGTTGGTGAAATGGAAGTACAGAACTCACAGCCCGTTTGGGCTCTGTGCCCTGGCTCCTGACAGCCTGCCCTGAGGTTGGTTCTCACTCTCTGGAGCCCTGCAGGGCAGCCTGACCCCCGCGTAGCCATGGCAGGCGTCACGTCCCCCAGATGAGTGATGTTTACAGATCAGGACCCCAGCGCTGTTAGAAGTGTAAACTTGATATTGAGAATTGCCCAGGTCACAGAATAGACACGAGTGACCCATGGGGGGAAAGACCTGGAACAGATCCGTTTGCAGAGGGGAATATCCCATAACAGGAAAACCCCAGATCAGGCGCTGAGAGCTTGGATGCCCGGGGAAGAAGAAGTGGTGAAGCCCCAGGACCCTCCAGCCCCAGATGCCACAGAGGAGCCCACCACAGGGGAACTGGCCCGACTGCAACCCCCGAGAGCCCAGGGAGAACATGAGCACGAGAGACTGATGGGGGAACTGTGGGTCAGGAAGACTGAAGCAGCCCAGACACTGGCAGACCCCACCAGAGGCAGGTGGAAGGTCCAGCAATGCATCCCAAAGGACTGGGGCAGCGAAAGGAGTTTCTAGTCCGTCCCCCCACACACCCCCTCCCAGCAGCACGGAGTGGGAGAAAGTCTGCCTGACTGCAGAGAAGAGTTCCTGTCTGCCTTTGAGCTTTTGAGAGACTGTGGGGCTTGCAGTGTCCCAGAGGACAAGCAGATGCCTGTCCTCTTAACCAGATCAGCTGGGAAAGCCAGGCAAGTTTGTAACGATCCGGTGGAGGGCGATGCTGAGGTGGACAAGATGTGTAAAGAAAATGTGTTGGAAAGATTGGAGCTCACCCCTGAGCCCTCTTGAGTGACTAGAGAACCATGGGAGTGTTTGACAGGGTCACTCACACTGAATATGTCCGGTTAAAGACTAACACATTTATTTGGGCATAAGCTTTCCTGGGTGGTATTTTATCCACAAAAGCTTATGCCCAAATAAACGTTAGGTGCCACCAGACACCTTGTTGTTTTTGTGGCTAGAGGCTAATACGGCTACCCCCGATACTGAATATGTGCACACAATGTGTCATTGTATGAGACAATGGATAATGAAGGCAGGGGCTGATGGTGATCATGAAAAATATCATTCTGGGATGTATTAGCAGGGCACGAGAAGTAATTCTTCCACTCTACTCCACACTGATACGGCCTCAGCTGGAGTAGCATGTCCAGTTCTGGGCACCACATTTCAGGAGGGATGTGGACAAATTGGAGAGTCCAGAGAAGAGCAACAAAAACTATCAAAGGTCTAGAAAACAGGACCTATGAGGGAAGATTGAAAAAATTGGGATTGTTTAGTTTGGAGAAGAGAAGACGGAGAGGGGACATGAGAACAGTTTTCAAGTACATAAAATGTTACAAGGAGGGAGAAAAATTGTTCTCGTTAACCTCTGAGGATGGGACAAGACGCAATGGACTTAAATTGCAGCCAGGGAGGTTTAGGCTGGACATTAGGAAAAACTTCCTAACTGTCAGGGTGGTGAAGCACGGGAATAAATTGCCCAGGGAGGTTGTGGAATCCCCATCACTGGAGATGTTTAGGAGCAGGTTAGACACACACCTGTCAGGGATGGGCTAGATAATACTTAGTCCTGCCATGAGTGCAGGGGACTGGACTAGGAGACCTCTCGAGGTCCCTTCCAGTTCTATGATTCTAGGACCTTGTTATTAAGAAATTGCTCTACCACGGTGGATGTGGAATCCCCATTGCTAGAGCTGGCAGCTACCATAGCAGGGACAAGGACGAGTCATTAACCCGAAGGACTGGACTCTGTCTGAACAATGGCTATGCGAAGGAGATTGCCTGAGCGGGGAAACCAGCTTGACCAAGACCCAGCCTTTGGTGGGACAGGACTGAGAGTATCTATTCAGGACAAATTGCGGCAGGAGTGGGGCATGGAAATAGCCCGTAAAGAGGGGAAAGACGGCATAGAATAGGAGAACCCTGAGGTGCGGTCAGGAGCGTCGGTGACACCTGGATGTTGGGGGTCGCATCAGGCTGCCCTGCCGGGACTCAGGAGCACGAGCCCCAGTCTCAGGGCAGACTGCCAGGAACCAGGGCACAAGCCTCACATTGGCTGGGAGATCTGTGCTCAGATTTCACCAACCAATTACCGAGTGCAAACTCCTCAGGTCCCATAACTGCCTGAGCACGGAGTCACAGACGTCCCCTTGGGCGCAGCGGTCTGTCTCGCCACCCAGCTGAGCCTGCCTGTGTGACAGATGGTCCCAAAGAATCTCAGTAACATACGGTTACTGCCAGTGCCCAAGGACCAGTCACTGACCCCCGGTTGATTGCACACCACAGAGAACCCCTGTAGCCCGTCTTGTAATAAACTGTCTACAGATGTATTAATAGGAAAAGGAAGCGAGACTTATTTACAAGGCTAAAGCAGGTAAACATAGATACACAAATGAGTTACAGTCTTAAGTTTCAAAAGGTAAGAGAAGCTTCGATCATAAGAGAGCTCTGTATGACCTTTAGGGCTAACCCAGGCTAAGCACTGGGGGTCTCTTGCTTATGCCTGGAAACCTTGCCCCCCAGAGTCCAAGCCGCGTCAAGACACAGTTCCTTCTCCTTAGGGGTTTTATCCCCCTCTCCCCACGTGCTCTGAGCGGCGAACGCAGCTGGCAGGAGGAATCCACTTGGCCGACTCCTGTTGGGCAGGACATAACACCTTCTGCTGGAGACCAGCACTTCCCGCCCTCCTGGCCCTCCCCCGTCTGGTGAGTTACACGGTCACAGGAGCTCACAGTATGGTGGGAACTAGCACCTCCCACAGGACTACGTGGGATATCGATGGGATCCGTGGGGGGGCAGCTCAAAACAGTCCCTAGAACACCAAAAAGCAAAGGAGGACTTGGGCACCGTAGAGACTAACCCATTTATCTGAGCATGAGCTTTCCTGAGCTACAGCTCCCTGCATCGGATGCATACCGTGGAAACTGCAGCAGACTTTATATACACACAGAGACCATGAAACAATACCTCCTCCCACCCCACTCTCCTGCTGGTAATAGCTTATCTAAAGTGATCATCAAGTTGGGCCATTTCCAGCACAAATCCAGGTTTTCTCACCCTCCGCCCCCCCCCACCCCCCACAAACTCACTCTCCTGCTGGTAATAGCCCATCCAAAGTGACCACTCTCTTCACAATAAAAAGATATATTAGACTAACCAATTTGTTGTCTCTAGTCATCTCCTTTTCTTTTAATCAACTACACCTTTCCTTAAACCTCTCTTCACAATGTGTATGATAATCAAAGTGGGCCATTTCCTGCACAAATCCAGGTTCTCTCACCCCTCACCCCCTCCAAAAACCACACACACAAACTCACTCTCCTGCTGGTAATAGCTTATCCAAAGTGACCACTCTCCCTACAATGTGCATGACAATCAAGGTGGGCCATTTCCAGCACAAATCCAGGTTTTCTCACCCCCCCACCCCCATACACACACAAACTGACCTCCTGCTGGTAATAGCTTATCTATTACCAGCAGGAGAGTGAATTTGTGTGTGGGGGGGGGGGGGGGTGAGAAAACCTGGATTTGTGCTGGAAATGGCCCACCTTGATGATCACTTTAGATAAGCTATTACCAGCAGGACAGTGGGGTGGGAGGAGGTATTGTTTCATGATCTCTGTGTGTATATAAAGTCTGTATCACAGTGGGGTGATGCCCAGAGGCAAGTGGCGCTGTGGAGGTGGGAATGGGCATGCACGTGGATTTGGGCAGAGGCAGGGCATGGCCGGGCCACCCCGTCCCAATGGTGATGGGCACCGTGCAGCCCCGCAGAGGTGGGACTGGGCGGGCGAGGGGCCTGCCGAGCGTCTGGCTTTGGGGGTGGCGCTGTGGAGAAGCCAGGGATTAGCACGCCGGGCGTGCTGGGGGGTGCAGCACCATTGAGAGGCGACAGGAGAACTCTCCTTCTGCTGAGTGTTACCAGCCTGGGGACGCCAGGTGGAGCCCCCGCCGGCCGCCTCTGAGCCCCCTCTCTCCCCCCAGGAAGTCTTGCTGAAGAGGGCAGCAGACCTGGTGGAGGCCCTGTACGGGATGCCGCACAATAACCAGGTACCACAGAACTGGTGCCCAGCTGAAGACTCTGGCTGGGACGAGGGGGGTGGGAGAATGCCCCGTCTGCCTGCCCGTCACCAGGGCGTCTGAACCCCCTTCCTGGGCATTGGCCCAGCCGGAGCTGCCTGACGTGGCTTGGTGATCGAAGTCTCTGATGGCGCGACAGCCCCACTCTGGCACCCAGGCAGGAGTCGGGACAGATCTGGTCCTGGTCTGGTCCTGCCACCTCCCAGCCAGAGCCTGGGGCCTGGGGAGACTGTGAGCAGTGGCAGTCTCCTGCCCAGCGGGACCTGTCCCGGCCCCCCGTGGCCCTCACTCTGTGACTGGCTCTGTGACCACGAGCTGGGACCCGAGGGGCCATCTGGCGTCAGTGCCCACCTCCCCGAGCCCAGGACCGGGGGTGGGCACGGTCTGACACCGTGGGACAGAGATTGGGTCAGATAACACCCCATGCACAGCCCCACCCCCACCCCTTCACTGCCTCGTCCATCCCCTCCACTCCCTGCACCCTCCCTGCCCCCCCACCCCATCCATGTCCTCCCACCCCCACCCCCTCACTGCCCCGTCCATCCCCCTCCACTGTGTGACCCCCATCCCCTGCCACCTCTGTTCCCGCCCCCCCCACCCCGGCCCCGTTGGGGAAGGCAGGGGCGGTGGAGCTGGCTGGTCCCAGCCCCACATCTGCTTCGCATCAGGAATTCCAGGGCCGTTGAGTAAGGAGCGCCCGGAGCTGCCTCCGCCCGCGTCCAGGGGCTGCCACTTCCCCGGCCCCCGCCCCCCGGGAGCCACCAGCGCAGCCTCTGCTGCCTGCCGCCTGGGCGGACCAAAGCCCCAGGAGCCCCCGCGGGTCGGGCCCAGCCCCCTCGGCTCCCTGTGCCCCGAGCTCGGGCTCTGTGAAGCCCCTTTGGTGCCAAGCCTGTCCCAGGCCTGCATGACACAAGTTTGGGAGGCCTCCGCCCCCACCCCTCTCGGCCGGGCAGCCGGGCTCACCCGTGCCCCCTGCCAGCAGGAAGGGTCTGAATGAGCTGTGGGGGGTGGGCCCCTCAGGCTGGGACCCTCTGGCCTGGCTGCCTTGCCCTGGCCGCGCCAGGCTTGCCAGGTAGATGCTCCGGCCTGGCAGCTGCCGAGCTGGTCCCTGGCCGGAGCGAGTCCCCAGGGGTAAGGGGCAGCTCCTGTCTCTGCAGGACATCATCCTGAAGCGAGCAGCAGACATCGCCGAGGCCCTGTACAGCGTCCCGCGCACCCCCAGCCAGCTGTCCTCGCTGGCCGGGAACCACGCCCACGCGGGCATGATGGGCGTCAACTCCTTCGGGAGCCAGCTGGCCATCAATATCAGCGACTCGGCCCCGGGCACCGAGCAAGGTGTGTGCAGGGGCGGGAGCCTGGTCAGACCAGACCAGCCCTCGGTGCCACCAGCTGGTCCCTGGGGAGCAGGTGGGTCCTGCGCTGTGTCCCCCGGCCGGGGCAGGGCCCTAGGGACTCTGCCGAGCCCCCGTCCGGCTCCGGCCCTGCCAGCTGCCCACAGGGCTGGGGCTCTGTGCAGGGGGCTGGTCTGTGGTGAGCCCGGGTCAGGGAAGGGAGAGGACTGGGCGTGGTTTCAGATGGGCCAGGGGGTCTGGCGCCGTGTCCTGCCCAGGGAGCCCACTCCCATAATGCACCTGGCCGGGGGGGCGTTCCTTCCTCCCCTGCGACCAGGTAGCGGGATCAGCGGGCGGTGGGAGCAGCCCCCCCCAGCCATCCCGCCAACGCTGCCCCTTGTCGCCCGCAGGCTATGCCCGCAACACGAGCAGCGTCTCGCCGCGGGGCTACGTGCCCAGCTCCACCCCGCAGCAGACCGGCTACAACACCATCACGTCCAGCATGAACGGCTACGGGGGGGCGGCCATGACCGGCCTCGGGGTGCCCGGCTCCCCCAGCTTCCTCAATGGCTCCACCGCCAACTCCCCCTACGCCAGTGAGTCGCAGAGGGGCACGGGCGGGTGCTGCCACCCTACGCAGGGGGCACCTCCTGTCGTGCGTCCGTAGGGGGCTGCACGGGGGGCTCTCTGGGCAAAGGTGACTCCACCGGCGCCCCTTACCCCCCCGGCTCCACCCGCAGAGAGCGCAGATGGGCACCGGACCCCCAGGTTGCTGCCCACAGGTTGCTCTGTAACCCCATTGGAATGGCTCCCTTCTGGGGGGGAGGTGTCCCGTGTCCCATGTCTCCAGGGCCCCTTGCCCAATACAGCCCTGCCCCACGGCATCACAGAGCCCCCAGCCCTGCCCCCTGCCCGGCGCCCAGCCCCTCTGCTCAGCCCTGCCCTGCGGTGTGCCATGGGCTCCCGTCCTGCACATGCTCTCAGGGTCTTCCTCGCATGCCGCCACCATACGACCTGTGCTGGGTGGGGCAGGGGGCGCCCCCCGGAGTCCCCTGCCAAGCCCCCCCAGACCACATCTGATACCCGACTGCTCCGCGGGCCCCTGCCAGCCTGTCTGACTGTCTCCTCTGCCCGCTGCAGTCATGCCCTCCAGCCCCCCGCTGGGCGCGTCCTCCATCACCCTCCCGTCCGGCACCAGCTCCTCCACCCCCGCCGGCGTCTTCTCCTTCTCCCCGGTCAACATGATCTCCGCCGTCAAGCAGAAGAGCGCCTTCGCCCCCGTGGTGCGGCCGCCCACCTCCCCCACCCCCACCTGCACCAGCACCAACGGGAACAGCCTGCAGGGTGAGTCGGCTGCACCCTGGGGGCTGGGAGGCCGTGTGGGTCGCCGTGCGCCCCCTCTGGATCCCTAGGCAGCCTTGGCCTGGATTCCCACAGGGGGCTGGGATACTAATGCCCTTGATGGGCGCTGCCAGTGCTGGACGGGCACAGCTAGGTATTCACCCGGGTGCCGCCCCACCAGCCACGGGGCCGAGCTCCTCTCCCTCCCACTCTGCTCCCAGCCCAGGATCCAAGCAGGGAGCCTGGCCGGGCCCGCGTCCATCTCTCCCCCATGCTTTTTGCCTCTGCTCTTTTTGGAAGCGTCAAAGTCATTTCCCACTCTCCCGCCCTGCGGCAGCCAGTCCCGCAGGTTGACAGTGCACCGCTCTAGCCTGCTCTAGCATGCGTTCCCTTCGGATCACATGGCGTTCCCACTGCTCCTGCCTTGGGACACCTCCTCGCAAGCCCCGGCGTCTTCTCTGGACCAAGATGTGAGGCCTACCTCTGGCCAGAGACTGGGCAGAGCGGATCCTGCTATGGCCGGGTGGGGATCCCCTGCAGAGACCGGGCGGAGCGGACCCCGCCGTGGCCGGGTGGGAATCCCCTGCAGAGACTGGGCAGAGCGGGGCCCGCCGTGGCCGGGTGGGATCTCACACAGGGGGCAGGGGGCCTGTAATTCCTGGGGGCCGGGCGTGGATTGGCCAGTGGGCTGGGGGGTAAAGTGGCCACGCTGGCTCCAGTTCTCCCCTCCCGCCCATGTTGACACTTTCCCTCTCTTCTTCCCTCCCTGCTGCGCTTTGCTCGGCTGCCCAGACCAGTCTTTCGAGGACTCCGACAAGTTTCACCCCCCTGCTCGGTCGCTCCAAGGACTGGCCTATTCCTAGACACGGTACGTCTGTCCACGGGCTCTGCTGCCCCCGTGTGAGGAGGGGGGCCGCCCCCCAGGGCTCTGGGCGGGGCCCCTCCCCATTGCGGGAATCTTCGCGTTGTAAGCCGGGCTGGGTGGGACCCAGGCTCGCCCAGTGGCCTCCCCGCATCGCCGATGGGAGCGGGTGTCCGGCCCGGTGACTAGGGCATTGGCCTGGGGAGACTCTGAGAGCCTGTGACTGCCCCGGGGCCACCGGTCTGCACCGCCTGGCATCCCACCCTGCAGCATACCCTGACCTGGGCTGGACACACCGCGGCTGTGGCCGTCCCTGCCGCGGGGATGGGAAGGTGGCGGGACGTCCCCGGGCAGCGGGGCCGGGCCCCAGCGAGCCCTTGGTTCGTGGCCCTGCCCAGTGCTCTGAAGGGGCGAGAGGCTCAGGACAGCTGCTGGGGATTCTGGCATGCCTACCCGCCTCTCTCCATGCGCCGGCATCTGCAGCGCTGAGCTACAAGCCCCCCGGGAGGGAGCAGGCAGCGGGACGCTGTTGTGGGGAGGCTCCCAGGTGCCTGGCTTTGCCACCAGCCCCTCCCAGCTCTGTTCTGCTCCCCCACACGACGCCCTGCTGGTGGGGCTGGTGCTTCCCGCTCTCCCCGGCTGCATGTGGCATGCAAGCGCTCCCCCCACCCCGCCCCGCCCCCCCGTAGCCCCCACGCCAGGGATGCTGGCCAACGCCTTCTCCTTCTCTTGCAGGCACGTCGGGTCTCATCGTGCTGCCCATGTGACCCGGGACTGGACCAGGACCCCGGAGGGAGCAGACCATGCACGGGGACCGAACCTCACCATTGACTCTGGGGCCCCCCAGGGGCTGTGGGGGGCTCGTGCCCACAGGCCCCCCCGCTCCAGTGGTGATTCGGTGGGAAGCCAGGCTGCGGCCAGAGGGGAAGCCGTGCCCTCTAGCCAGGGGCAGTTTTCCTGCCAAGCTCCTGACAGGGCCTGGCGGCACGGACAGGCTGGGTCCCTCCACGGGATAGTGCAAAGGGATGGGGGCTGGCTGGGGGCAGGGGTCTCTCACTCTGACTGCACCTCCCGCTCCTTCCTTCAGGGAGCTCCCCCGGGCTGCCCCAGCCTGGCACAAGAATGCCGCTCCTGGCCGCCCCAGGTGGTGAGCTCCCGGTAACACCCCCCGAGCAGCGCTAGGCTAGGTGTGGGGCACTGCCGTGGGGGGAAGGGCCCCTGCTGGGGAGCTCTCCCCCATGGCTCTGCCCTGGGGCTTGAGAAGGGAGCTCAGAGAGGGCAGCTGCCCGAGCACAGGCTCTGGGGCCAGGACTCTTGGGTTCTGATCCCGGCTCCGCCCGACTCCCTCTGTAGCCTTGGCGACCGGCTGCCCCTCTTTGGCCCCATTTGGAAAGGGGGCTGGCAGGGGGCCGAGGGTGACTTAGTGACTGGGCCGGATTCTGGTCTTTGGAGTGCTGGCACCACCATGGGCCAGGCCACGGGCTGACCAGAGCCTGGCCCAGCTCACTCGCTCTGGGGGGGGGCACTGGGGCGACCGCAGGCCGCTGGCGACGTGTCCTGCGCCCCACAGCATCCGAACTAACTGCCCAGAGTCCGGGGAAGCCCAGAGACCTGGGGGTGGGAACTGACCATTCCCACATTAACCAAACTTTATTATTTTAACGTCAAAACCCCAAACCCCAGCTCAGGGCCCAGGCTGGAGTTTGTGGGCAGAGGCTCAGGGCAATTCGTGCCTTTTCCAACCCCCCCGGGCATGCCCCGTCTCCTGTGCGCTGGGCAAACCCTGGGGAGAGTCGCTCCCAGCACGCCCGCTTTGTTTCCCTCCTGCCTCTCTGGAAGGGTCACCTGAGCGGGGGGCAGGAGCCGGGCAGCCAGCCGGGACGCCGGGGCAACGCAAGAGGGGCTCACGGCACCAGAACCTGCCCCGGCACAGCCCAGAGCCCGCAGCGGTCAGAGCCCGGCCCTAGAACCGCAGCTGCCGGGGTTGGCCGCGCAGGCCCCAGCCCCTCGCGCCTCCCTTCCCAGCTCGGCTCCTGGGCTGGTCGCTCAGCACCGGGATGTTCCCAGATGTTCCCAGCCAGCTGTGGAGCTGCCCACCCACAGATCCCCCACAGGCTGCTTGCTGGGACCGCGGCAGCCGGCACCGGAGCAGCCTCATTAGCCCAGGCGGGGTAGTTTGGTGTGGAGCTTGGCCAGGTCTGGGTGGGCCCAGCCCTGCGAGCCGAGGAGGAACCGGAGCCCAGGCCAGCTGCTGGTTTGCTCTCCCAGGGCCGCCTCCAACGCCCCCTGGAGTCCCTGGGCCCCCTGGGCTGGGGGTCCGGCCTCTGCCCTTCCCCGGGCCCGGGGCAGGAATTAGCAAAGCGTGAGAGGCTCAGGCCGGCTCCGGCAAAAGGCAACGCCCTTGGTGGAGCGCACGGCCCTGCCGCGCTGGGAGAAACGCTGTGTGTAAAGCCGGCGTTGGCCTTTTCCTTTCGGCTCCGTTTTAACCCTGCAGAGCCAGGCCTGAGCCGCGGCCCCTGAGCCCAGATGCCGAGCCGGAGCTGCCGGCTTGGAGATGTAATAAATCCCCCCAGCCCCACCCCTGGGATGTAGTACCGGGAAAGGGGGCAGGAGGGGTTTGGGGCTCCTTCGCCCCAGGTGGCAGGGAGGGGCCCAGATTGTGTCAATAAGGGAAAGGGAAGGCCCTGGTGCCGGCTGGGCCCCGGCTTCTCCGTGTTTCTCTGGCTGCCGGGTGGGTGCCTCCCCCACGTTGACTTTTTTACTCTGTCTGTCGTCGTCTGTGAAGCCTGTATAGGAGCCCTGGCGCTATTCATGCACTGTGTAAATGTAAGCACATGTAAAGCGAATATTAGCCTCCTTATCCACCCGCTAGGCGCTGGGGCCTAGAATATACTGCCCGACGCTGCCTTCCCCGGGTGCTCCGTGTGTCGTCTCTGCCCTGCGCCGAGCCACGCCAGGGCCGGGGAATCCCAAAAGGCCCAGCTTTGGCCAGGCTTTCTCAGCGCCAAAGCCTCAGGGCTGGGCCGGCGCTTGCTTACGCTGGTGAAAATCCAGAGCAAGGCCATGGATGGTGGTGGATTTGCGCCCATGGAGCTCCCTGTGTGGCTGTGGGGCGGAGGGCTGCTATGGGGCGAGGGGGTTCTGGCCATGGACTCCCAGCAGCCACACTTGTCCTAGGGTCAGAGATGCAAGGCCAGAAAGGTCACCCAGCCAGGCTGCCCTCCTGCATAGCCCTGGGCAGAGGCCCTGGCCAGTGCCCCCTGGCCCGCCCAGAACAGCTCGGGGAGCCCGAGGCATTTTGTAGCCAGACGTCCCATCTCGAGCCTGGACACCAAGCACGGGAGACTCCCCGCACCCCTGGGCACGCACGCCCCAGGGCCAGCGCCCCCTGCCACCACCTGGCTGCCCCATCCTGCGTCACTCGCACCGGCTCCCCACGGCAGCAGCTGAGGGTCAGCGTGGGAGAGCCGAGCTCCAGGGAAAGCCCCTTGGGGGACGAGCCAGGCTGTTCCCCCGCCCTGGCCCATGCAGGCTGGGCCCCCCGAGTCCATGCTCCAGTGCTGCGGCCAGTCTAGTCCCAGCCCTACCCTCGGAGACTCGGCCATGCCCAGGCTGGGCACCGTTTCCCAGCCTGCGGCCCGCCCCCTCGCTCTCCGGTCTTGTGCCCCACCGGGGAGACCAGCCCCCAGGGCAGCACTGGGCCCCGGCTCCCCACAGGACCCAGGCTGAAGGCATCTGTAGGGGGGCAGGGAGCTACCCATGTGGCTAGGAGACAGGGGCCGAGGGTGTCTCCGGTCCCGGTGGGGTTTCACAGGCTCCATCCAGCCCATGAGGGGGTTGGCTCAGGCTGGCAGGCAGCAGTTGGGGGAAAGCCCCTTGGCTGCCCAGCCGGGCACCCGCAGCCCTGGCACAGCTGCCTTAGCCCAGCCGACACCCGGTTCTGGGAGGAGCGATGCCCAGATATGCCTGGGCCTGCTCGGCACAAGCCGGAGGGAGGCAGACAGCCAGAAAGACCCTCTCCCTGCCCCCCACCCGCCTCACTGGGGCTGCAGAGCCATGCGGGGGGAGAGTCCAGCCCCCCCAGAGTCTGAGCCCCACGCTGGGGGACAAGGTGACTCCCCCCTGCCCT